CTAAGAGGAACACTGACCTGCTGAAAGGCTGTTACCACCACCAGGCAGGGAACTAAAACATGCAGGATGCCGGGGCTCCAGGACCCGCTTTGGGCACCACGGGGCTAATTACATCATTTCCAATCTGCAGCCACCGCAGTTCGTCTCTCTCCGCCTGCAGCCATCAGGTTTTATTTTGGCGCATCGTGTTGTAGCTCACACCGCCCCCCGTTCAACCCGCTGCTTTCTGATTTCTGAAGGCTCAGTTTGTCTTCATGGATGCAGCTGCAGCTTCATGTTCCTCTGGTTGTGACCAAAATATTAATAAATTATTTTATTTGTCCTTTGAACACTAAATATGAATCGCGGTCTTTTGTTTTTTATAAAAACTTATTTTAGGAAAATCCTGTTCTGGTGTCTTTATTGTTCACCATGTTTGTTTTATTTAGAGGCTCTTTTCTCACTGAGAACTGATGATTTTAATACAACTACTGTAAGTTAGTAATGTCCGTCGTTTGGGGCATTTCCTCTCATTTATGCTCACCTGCATTTAATGCTGACGACTCATTAACACACTGAGATGCGAGTTGGAATAATTTTATCAGGCTGTGATAAACAGAGCAGTTCACTGACTGACAACATGCTAAACGTGTTCAGTCAACATACAAACTCGGCATCACTGAAGAAGAACAGTTCTGAGGTTCTGGTCGGGTTCAGGCCTGTCGGCCTTCCGAACCACTCAGGTTTTCTGGCTGAATAGTTTTTGAAATTTTTGCTTCATAAATTGACTCTTCGATGCAAAATCTGATTTCTTTCAGTCTCTGCATCGACCTGCAGCAGCTCTCAGATTCATAATTAACTTATTTTTTTCAATAAGTAGTAAAATTGAATGTATTTATTTTTTACCGTTGCCTTTTTCCAGATTAATTTCAGTTCTGCTCTTCGGGCCTGTAAGGGTTAAAAACGTTTTATTTATTGTTGTATTTTATTTTTTTAACATCTAATCAGAAACAAATGAGAAAAGGACAAACAGAAAGTGGGAGTAAAAAACTGGCGACGGAGGAGGAAGATGAAGTCATCGGTGAATAATGGATGTAAAGAAAGTGGGGAATGAATAAAGGGAGGAAGAGCTGCTGTTTGCATTATTAATCACATTTTCTTCCTCTTATCTCTCCTCATTCATTCATTTTCTTTTACTCCTCTTCTTCGTCCCATTCTTTAACTTCTTATTGATGATTTTTTTAAATCTTTTTTTTCTTGATGGAGGTTAATTTTCTGTCCTGTTAGCGTTTCTTTTTATTGTCTCTTTAGATTTCTGGATCACGACTATCAGCTTATTGATCCTGCAGAACTTCTGCATCATGATATTACCAGGACTTGCTGTCGCAATGCAAGGAGAGCGCCGCTTCTGTTGGCGTTTTGAGTTACCATGGCAACATATTTAGCCAATGAATGAGTCAGGTGTTAAAAAATCCTGAAGATAAATTTAGCATGAATGTAGGAGTCAGTGCTATCAACATGCTAAAGATAAACCACATGCTATTGACAGCAGTTTAGCTAACCTTAGCATTTTAGCTCATTTTAGCTTTCACCCTGCTGTTTTACATGGAGTACATAATTATCATAATGAACATGCTAATGTGTATGGGATGGAGTACGATACTATAGAGCAACATGCTAGTGATAGCCCCTATGCTAACATTAGCCTTTTTGCTAATACAAAAAATAAACTGCTAATTTATTTTTAGAGTGACTGACAGCACTCTAAAATAAACTGATTTTATTTTTTGTATCAAAAAATAAACTGATACTCCATTAAGTTAATATTAGTCAACACGATTGTTATAGCACACCTGCTATTGACAACATTTTACCTATCAGCATTTTACACTCTGCTGTTTACTAGATTGATTATGTTCCTGCAGATCAACATGCTAGTGATATCTGAGCATTTTAGCTTATGCTGTTAACATACAAGATGCAGTACGTAGCAGTAGATCAACATTAGCAGCTAGGTTCACATTGAAATAGAGTAAGTCAATGTTATTTAACAGGATTGTTGTAGCCCACTTACTTCTGATAGCATGTTAGCCAACCTTAGCATTTTAGCTAATTCTAAACATTTTCATGACAGAAACTGACTTTAATTATTGTCTTAGGCTGTAAAGGTTTGGTGCTCAAAGTTGAGACTGTTGACTGGGAAAAGCCAGACTTTATGCAGGTTTCTCTCCTTATCTTCATAAAGTTGAATACCTGAGAGATGTGTGGAGGGATCTGCTGACAAACGAAGGAGAGGAGGAGAGAAGGGTAGCAGCTTATGACAACCAGCGATGAATTATAGAAGCTTGTCCCCAGGCTGAAGAGTCACTGTGGGGGGAGGATGGATGGATGGATGGATGGATGGATGGATGGATGGATGGATGGATGGATGGATGGATGGATGGATGGTGAAGCATAGAGAGAGATGCAGGGAGACTAAAAGGCATGTGAACCTAAATGCCAGTGAGGAGAAGTGGGGTGAAGGAGGATGAGAGGATGACAGTAAGTGGAAGGAGGGGAGGAAGAAAGTGTGGGTCATTTTGTCACAGAGCGTTAAAAAAACCATGCAAGCCCCCTGACTCCAGTTACCATGGAAACCAAGGGGAAGCGCTTTTATGTTTCACACTTTGTTGCCCACGGTAACTGCCCTGAGATTGAAGGATGGGAGGAGAGAGAGAATTATGACGAGGACGAGAGTTTGTGTTGGCAGGAAAACTCTGGATCTGCAGGTCCGACAGAACCGACGGTCCGGTTCGGTCCGACCCTAAAAACGGTCCCACTGGAGACCAGAAAGGGAAGTTGGTGAATACTGGGTTCTGTGGACCTCTATGTCGGTTTTATTGTCATGAGTTTAACAGATTGAAAACCTTCTGGCGTTCTGTTCATAAATGTGTATTATCAGTTTTTATGTCCATCGGTAGAACAGGACGGATTAACGTTAGATGGCAGTATGATGTGTTTTCCAGGCACATTGTGCCGTTTTAGAGCATAATCAAATAACTATGTTACCTCCTGATGTTATAAAATGCTGAATATAGCAAATATGACTTAGAAGAAAATTTACTTCCTGATGTAAAACCTTGAAATTGGGCCGCTGTCTCTTTAAAATCTCCTGCTCTTTCTGGAGTTCTGCCTCCTGGAGGTCATCCAACATGTAAGTAGCTCCTATAATGAGCTCAGCTGTTTCCCCAGGTGTTTGCTAGTTGCTGCTGGCTAGTCTGAAGGAGCTGAGTGGGGGCGGAGCTGTGCCTTGAAGGCGGGGCTAGGTCCACCAAGGCGTTTTGAAGCTGACTGGTTGCCAGAATCAAAGCAACTCTCCAGGTTTGTTTTTGTTGAGTTAAAAACATTAAAACATGTTGGAAAGATCAAAGGAGTTAATTTTACCTCCTACTGGCTCTTTAATGATGAAGGGAGATAATCATCATTATGAGGAGCTGAACAGCCTCCAGACTGAGAGCAGGACGGCGTTTCAGGTTTCTCTCAGATTAATTTAGTAAAACGAGGAGCAGATCAGGACTGATTCCTGGATCGGTTTTCTGAGGCGGAGTCGTGTTTCTGGCGGTTCTGTTTGCGTGTGGGGAGGTTTCGCCGGCGGCATTCTGCCCCACTCGGCCTGCGCCCTGAGGCTGCAGCACATCACGGCGTTGAGACGCCCGCCGGCTGCCGCTCGTCACGGCCGCTGTCAGCTTCCTGTCAGCTCCTCTCTGCTTCCTCCGTCGTCACGGCGACAGAAGCAGCGACATTTTCTCACTCATTATCTGAAAACAGAAACAGTGTTTTTTATTTAAAATCTGCTGCCTGTGATAAACATTCAATTTAAAGAGAAGAAATCATTTAGTCCAAATCAAACCTTGGAAACACCATCGGCTTCTAGCCACAGGAAAAAACATCGACTTTAAAATATTTTTTCTCACTTTTATTTACTTTTCAATCATTTTTTACATTTATTGAGCACAACGATGTCCAACATGTGAACAAATTTTGTGTTCACAGTTGAAGAATGGTTTTTATTTGGAGTTTTTATTGACAGTCTTTTCAGAAGGAAAATTTATAGGTTCAACACAAAGTACACATTTTTTAGTGATCACACTTTTTGCTTTCTTTTTTATTTGAGTATAAAACTAATAAAATCTAAATACAGGAAATGTTTTCAAAGAGAGGATGACCCAAATCCTTTTTTTGTTAAGAAAAGATAAGAAAAGTTTGCCAAAAAAATAAAAACAAAACAGATGATGACTGTGATCGAAGTTTGGACATGAATGCTGCCCCGTACTTTATTAGACCAGCGGTTCTCATGTTTTTTTTATTTATTATTTTTTCTGAATCCTCCACACCTGGATGGTTCTTTTGCTCTTTTTCATGTCAGAAACTTTTCCTTTTCTTGCTTGATTGGATTGGCTGCCTTGAAAATGCTAACCTATTAGCATGTCAGTTCTTACATGTCACCTTCCCAGCTCCATTTTCTTTTGAATATTTCAAATATGCTCTATGAAAAACTGAATAATTTGGAGTCAGATTCCACAGAAAACCTGTGAATAGTGAACAGGTCTGCTGCTTAGAGTTATTAGAAAACATAAACCAGTTCTGTTCCTTTAATAGCATTTAATAGCACACACAGTAGACATGAATGACATATTTGGGGGCTACACAGCAGCAGGAGGTCTCTGGTGTAAACTCAGTGACCAGCTGCTCTGAATTTGGACCATAGTTTAAAAGGCAGTGGTGGCACGTTTCTGCTAATAGAGGAGCTGATTTTTATGTTTGTTCTTTTGTTAACTTTGAAAACATTTAGCACTCTTAGCTTCCCCTAAATTAATTTTTTCTGGATAAATTATAAAGCACCAATTTCCTCAGCTGTTTTGTAAACTTTGAATAAAATTCAACATCTGAGATTAAATTAAACCTTTACTTAAGTCTGTGTACAAACCCAGAAGGTATTTATTTATGTGGGCCGTGGGCCCCGGTCCATCAGGATCTCAGCACCGCCTCTGCTGATGATGCTGTTCTCTGAGGAAGAGGAGGAGGAGGAGGAAGAGGAGGGAGGCAGAGCTGGGAGGAAGGACTCCGTCAGAGCGGCAGAGGCAGCGCTGCACCGCGGCTCCATCTCCGGTCCGCCGCCAGCTCGCCTCGCGTCCCCTCGGTTCGGCTCAGGTCGGCTCGGTTCGGTTCGGTCTCTTCCTCCCGGTTCGTTTCGCGGCGGATCCGCAGCAGCAACAATGTGGTGCATCAACTGCGCCTCGGACAAAACCCCCGCAATCCTGAACAACAAGCTGCTGTACTGGTGAGCAACCCGCGGTGTGTGTGTGTGTGTGTGCGTGCCCGTCCTGACGCACCGCTGCGCCGCTTCGTGCTGATTGTGCGCAGCTGCTGGTTGTGGGTCTTAATGAAATGCGCCAGCAGCGGCGCCGCTCCGGATGTTCTGGCGCTGATTTAGCGCCATCAGAAGCGGGGCGAATGGGGGCGATTCGGCCGCTAGTTACATTTTTAGCGGCTTTTGTTTGCGCCTGTCTGTCCTCGCAGTTTGTCTCCGTGTCTCTGTTGGACCTTGAACTTCTAGATGTGAGGAAATCCTGAGAGTCAAACATGTTTGGAAAGCGGAAACTTTTTCCTGGATCTGAGCGGCTCTGTTCAGGATCCTGGGAGCAGTGTGTGTGTGTGTGTGTGTGTGTGTGTGTGTGTGTGTGTGTGGTGATGGGGGTCATGATGCTCCTCTTCCTGTGGTTGCTCGTTTCAGGCATTTTGTTTGTGTTGGTTGAATCTCTTGCTTTGGGGAAAATGGTTTTCAAACACCAGAAACCTCCTGACTGGGGGGCCAGATGTTTGGATGGAGAACAGAAGGTGCACCCTGTTTTACTTTGGCCTAGTTAAAGTAAAGTCCAGAAAGGTTTGGAAAAGAATCGGTAGTTGTTGTTCAAACTTTGATCTGATTTATTAGGATTTTATGAAACAATCCAACACAAACTTGTGCAGAAATTGATTTTTTGCATTTTTTTTTACCAATAAAAATCTGGAAAGTGTGGCATGGACCTACTGCAGTGAATCAATTAATCACATAATAAATTAAAATGAGCTCATTTATTTCCATTTACATGATTTATTGATTTTCTTTCTTTCTACCAAAAACAATAAAAGTCTTAAATCTGGTGTTTTGGTCTCAAACTTTTTACAGAGACTTCATAATTCATCCTATTTGCTATTTTTGTTGTTTTATTTATTTTGTATATTTAAAGTCTTCCAGTTCTGGTGTTAAATGTTCATTAGGACTTAAAGTTTATTATGTTCTTGAATTAATATGCCATTACCAGATTACTTGAAAATGGTCTCAAACAACAGTTATCGTTTATCGCAATGACTTCTGGGAGAATTTATCGTCCAGTAACATTTGTCATCATGACGGGGGGGCAGACATTTTCCTCCTTCCCCTCCTGAGTCCTGAATAGAAGCCGATTCCTGCAGGTCCAGAGTCCTGCAGCGGTTTGACGTCTCTCTGGTCCGACGACCGAATCAGACGATGTGTTGAAGCAGACGGGTCGCTCTGAAACTTTTGCCCGTTCTTCTTTAAAATCTGCTGAAAGCTGCATCAGTTTGGATGGAGAACTTTCCATTCCTACTGCAGATACTTTATATTGTTCAGTTCTGGACATGGACTAGGCCGTTCTGACACATGAAGCTGCTTTGATCTGAACCGAAGTGTAAACCGTCTGCCGTTCTCCTGAGTGACTTTCAGGTGCAAATGCAAAAAAAAAAAAAATGAAAATAAACAATAAAATATACAAAAATGTAACAATAAGTGAAGGAAACACAGCAGATTCAGCAATATTTCATTTAATTTTATTATCTGGATGTAAAAATGATTTTCTCTCCCTCTGAGTTGTGTGGAGATGACCTTTAACCCCATTTCTGCTCTGAGGACATTGCTGATGTCGTCCTAAGTCTAGAAAATAAAACTCCAGATTTTATTGAGTTTTTTAAATCATCAGACTTTCATAGCTGAGTTAGTTTCCTTGTTTCTTACAGGATGAGACGTTTATCAGACGGCGCTGAGGCGTTTTCCTCCGTGTCGTTCTGAGAGGTCAGAGGTCAACCTGCCGTTGTTCCTCTGAGCCGTCAGGCCTCAGAGTCATCCTGTGAAAACACAAACAGGAAGTGAGCGTCGCCATGGACGCCTCTTCCAGTCAGAGCTGTCAGAAACTCAACATTATTTACCTTCATATTCTCCTCTGGATGGAAATGATTCTGGGAAAATCCATTTCTGCCTGTTTCATTCATTCATCATCGTTTTGCCCAGATCAGCGGGATCATATTCCGACTCTTCAGCCTTTCTCTGCTCTGATCCATTTAATCCGTTCTGCCTCTGTGTTAGAAAGAATAAATTATAAACCTCAGATAGACTTTCATTGTGCATGAAAGAAAGCACAACAAAATTTTAAAAAGTTGAATAATTTAATATCTGCAAAGAAATAGAAATTATTTCTGTTCTGTTGTAGAAAATTAACCTATAACAATAAC